AAGCCCTATTCTTAAACAGAGTTACAGGTAGCAATGTTTCCACGAGCAGTAACAGGCGTTATCTACTTGGAAAATTACACAGGATAGGACCTCGGTTGTACAGGTAATATCTATCACAACTGAACTACAACGTGACTGGTAATTCTCATCCGGCATTGGTGAGGCCTTAATCTCTAGATATTACCTGTACAACCGGACATTCACAGCCCTGTGATAATGTTGCATGTTTCAGACATTCACAGCCCTGTGATAATGTTGCATGTTTCAGACATTCACAGTCCTGTGATAGTGTTGCATGTTTCAGACATTCTGTGAATACAGCTTTTGTCTGTGCTCATTCCTGTTCGTTTGATCGCTCTTTGTTGAATAAACCAACTTTTAAAAGTGAGAAACATTAATTTTGAAGGTTTGGATGAGGACACTGTTGGTAAAGGATGTCACGAGGAAGAGTTACCTTTACCTGAGACTCAACATGTCAAGCTAGTGGACTTAGGAAAGTCAAAAAATAACTTGAGTGAGAGTAAACTAAATTCTGACATCAGTAGGGGATGTAGGACCTCGGGGTCTCGTGCTGTTACCGGACATTTGAATACGCCATTCAAGTAAGATCAGATTTTCTTTATGTACTATATTGTAAGTGGCTTTTATCCAGTACAACTGAAAAGTGGTATGTACGTGTAGGAGGTGCTTATAGTTACAACAGACACCTTAGGAAGTAAAGGTTTACCGTACTTCCACCACGTAAAATGTACTATATTAGGTATCTCTAGTTTGGAGCTGGTTCTTTATTGTTTGAAAAACCTGTGTTATGTAACTCTTACTTATGGTTAACGTGAAAACAGATAAACTGTATTGGAGTTGCCACGAATCTATAAACTGATGATATGTAAGACAAAAACGAAACGTTTCTTTTATTTGTTACAAATAAAATAAATACGATTTGAATTCACGATCGTTTTAGTACATTGCGATTGTATTTATCATCAGGTCCTATTTAACCTATGATGTCAGTTCCTCTAGAATAATATCACAACTTTATTTTCATTGCCCAAGGTTAAGTTCATGGCCAGAATGACAGTAATAACTTACATGTAGCTTGTGTTTGTTATGTGTAACGGATATTAGTATTATGTTGTATATGTGTAACGTAATATTAGTACATTACGATTGTATTTATCATCAGGTCCTATTTAACCTATGATGTCAGTTCCTCTAGAATAATATCACAACTTTATTTTCATTGCCCAAGGTTAAGTTCATGGCCAGAATGACAGTAATAACTTACATGTAGCTTGTGTTTGTTATGTGTAACGGATATTAAATTACTTTAAGGATGATAATAGAATAATGATGTACAATGCTTGGTTAAAGGTGTGACCTATCGACGCCCCAACCGAAGCTAAGGCTCAGCAGACAACCAGTTAGTTGCACCACTGAAACGAGTTCCTCGTCTTCTTTGACTTCAAAGTCAACCGCAATCGAAGTGAGGATTTCAGTCTTATTTCTTTGTAAAGTATTTGGTCTAGCCATTATTTGTATAATACACACACGGTGTTCTTTATTGTGGTAGGGTGAAAAAAAAGTTATCACGAAAGATAGATTGTTCTAAGGAAACGTACTTTTATAACTTCTTCAAACAAGGGTTTTTTGACACGCTATTTATGTATCGATAACTGTCAGTCATCGACACGTGAAAGCATAAGTTTGGGGAAATTCACAACTTCTGTAAAACCTTTGTTAGTTACACAGTTAATTTTTTATGCTACACACACTAGAGACTTTTCTACCATTGCGATATCGGAACGTAGCACACGTTTCTTCTTTCTTTAGCATTAATATTTGATTCTAAAATAATTCTTTGCTCTGAATATGTGCATTACACCTTGGTAAGACAGTTGAACTGATATTGTGTCAAGTTACCTTTGTTCCTGTGTAATTTTTCAAGTAGATAACGCCTGTTACTGCTCGTGGAAACATTGCTACCTGTAACTCTGTTTAAGAATAGGGCCTCGGTTGTACAGGTAATATCTAGAGATTAAGGCCTCACCAATGCCGGATGAGAATTACCAGTCACGTTGTAGTTCAGTTGTGATGGATATTACCTGTACAACCGAGGTCCTATCCTGTGTAATTTTTTCAAGTAGATAACGCCTGTTACTGCTCGTGGAAACATTGCTACCTGTAACTCTGTTTAAGAATAGGGCCTGAAACATGCAACAAGTCCTGTGATAGAGACATTCACGAAACATGCAACA